GGCTCTCTTAAGACTTCGCAGGAGCGCGAGCGCAAGCATGTTTTTGATAATCCTTCATGCGAAACCACGTGTAATTCTATGTTTGCGCCGCTCGATGTTGACATCCTCGCAAAACCGAACGTTTTATGCAGGATTCCAGCATGCGCCCGCGACGACGCGCGCGCGCACTTCGTCACATATGCTGCAAGTGGCCATTGGAAACCAATGGTTAATTACAAACGAACGCGCGCGCACTATCATTAGCAAAAGATGACGGGGGAGTCGATGCTGGCCTGGCCGGGCGGTTCGAATCCGCATTTAGGATGGGCAACGGGGCGGAATCACACGAAAATTGCAATGCGAAACGGAGCGCGGATAATCCCAGGAAGGGCGGCATACTCCAATTATTTCAGGGGGGGGCGAATCGCCAACTCCATTGCTCGCGCAATCACCCCGCCCGCCCACGCGCAACTCGGCACGCAAAACCCAAAGGGCAGCGATTGCGACGGCTGCCGGGCGCGAGCCGGCGCACCGCCGCGGCCGCGCCAGCCCGCGCAGGCGCGCGCGCGGAGCGGCCAGCTATTCTAGCGCGACCGACGCGGCCGCGGCAGCGCTGACCGCCGGGAACTCCCCAGCGCGTCTCGCCGGCCGACACCGGAGAAGAGGGGGGGGGGGCGGGAACGCGAATGGGGCAGAGGAGAGAGGCGCCAGGAACAGAGGGGTGGCTCTTCAATTCCCCGCAGGTGAGCGGCGCCGAAGGAACTGAGGAATGGCCCCTCAACTCCCGCAGGGGAATGAAGCGCACGCGGCCCGGATTGTTTTTGCATCGGGCTTTATCCCAGAAGCTCCTCCCACGTCGATCAACGCACGCGCGCTGCGTGGCATTGCTCGACGAGGACTTGCGCCACGAGCTCATCATCGATCAACGCACGTGCCCCACACGGTATCATTTGACAGGAACCACGTCTCTGGCCAGCACGCGAGGGCGCGGGGATAGATTCGACGCGCGGGCGCGAAGGCCTCCGTGGACAGGAAGATTCTTTCAGGGGGAAAATGGGTTGCCATATGAATCCGCAAGAGCGCGCGGGATTAATACTTTGAAAGCTTGCCACTGGAAAACCCATGGCTTTATATGTTTTATGCAGGGACTGCAACGACAACAACGGCCGTGGACAGAGTTCGTTTTGCGCGCGCGCGCACGTGGCCCGCGCGGTACCATGTGACGGGGGCTCGCGCCACAAGCTCATCTCAGGTCGACGCACGCGCACCGCATTGTTTTATTTGGCAAGGGCGCATGGGGGGGCGCCAATGCCATGCTGGCTGGGATACTATAAATTCATGTGGAAAATGAACAAGGAGGTAGAATCATGTGTAAACTACAATACCCGCCATGGGGGTTGATAAGTCCGCGGGGGGGGGGGGGGGGGGGGGGGGTGGGGGGGGGGGGGGGGGGGGGGGAGGGGGGGGGGGGCGTAGGGGGGTGCATCGACTTGCTTGGAAAGAAAATCTAAGTTTGGAAAATTTGGAGCCCCCAACTCCACTGCTCGCGAGATCGTCCCACCCACCAACCCGAAACATGGCCTGCATAACCCATGCGGCGGCGATTGCGCTTGGTTTTGCCTGGCGCGTCTCTGCGGCCGCGCTAGCCCGCGCATGCTCGGGCGCACAGCGGCCAAATTATCTGGCGCGACCAACGCGGCCGTGGTGACGCTGACTGCTTGGCACATCCCAGTGGGCGCTTCAGTGCGAGTCGGTCACTTGGGCGAGCGCGGTAGCATGGCGACGTTGACGACGGTAGGCACGACGATGAAAACCATAGTGGTGGCGATGATGGCGAAGACGACGGCAGGGCCAATGACGGCGCCGATGCGGATCACGCCGATGACGATGACGACGCCCTCGCATCGGTGATGCAGGTCTTGGAAGGAGTTCGACATGCGCGCGCGGCCGACGCGCGCGACTGGCCCTCGCCGCATCATTTGACACGGACCGCCCCCCTCCCCCAGCACGCCCGCAAGGGCGTTAACATAACTTCGACATGTGGCGCCTGAGGCCCGCGTGGTCGAATTCAACAACCATGTTGCACAACCTATGGTCTTCTAAAGAATTCGCAACAGCGTGCGCGCAGACCTTTCTTGAAAACTGATGTCGCAAAACCATGTGTTTTACAAGTTGCTGGGAAACTCGATGTTGACATCCGCACGAAAACTAAGAAGTTGTTGGAGGATTCCGGCACGCGCGCGCGACGACGCGCGCGCATGCACTGCGCCCCGTCTTCTGCAAGGGATTCGTGCGACAGCACGCGCGCACGTGAGTTCGAACGATTCCAACATGTGCGCGCCAGAAGCACTTTTGGCAGCATTTGATGAAATTGTTGAGGAACCGACGCTTCCCGTACGAATTCACCGAGAGAGCGAGCGCACGTTGTTATGAAAATTCGGGCTGCGAAACCAAAGGTTGCTTTAAGTATGTGTCGGGGCACTCGATTTTAAATCCTCACGGCATGCGCGCGCGACGACGCGCGCGTGGGCATTGTTGCCCCATGTGTTTCTTTATTTTGTTTTTTTATTTTTTTTTTTTTTTGCAAGGGGTTCTTGAAAACGGATGACGGTTGACAAACAAGTGCGCACGTATTATATTGTTTTCGCCGTGGATGAGGGGGGCGATAAGGGACTGCCTGGGATGTAACGAATTCATGTTTAAGATGGACGATGAAGCAGAATAAAATGTACATTGCAATGCAACACGGCGTACCATTAAGTCCGGGGGGAAGAGGGGAGGTAGATCCGAATACCTTACTAGATCGGAACACCGTTGTGGTGATTATATGGTATGCACTCTATGTAGTGCAACGTACGTGGTGCAATCTATGCGGTGCGAGTAATGCGGTGCAATGTATGTGGTGAAGTCCATCACTTGCCGAGTTTGAAGTTGCCAACTCCACTGCTCGCGCAATCATCCCACCCACCCACCCGCAACTTGTTTTGCAAAACCCATGCGGAACCGAGCACAGATATCGATCCAGGGTCGTCTTGGAGCCCTCGGGGGCGTCTCAAGAGCGCCCCAAGAAGGCCGGAGAAGCAAGACGGCCGATGGCGACGACGACGACGACGACGACGGCGGCGACGACGACGACGCCGACGTCGACGACGACGAAGACGACGACGCCGACGCCGACGACGACGACGAAGACGACGACGACGTCGCCAACGAAGACGACGACGAGGGAGGAGGGAGGACGACGACGGCGACAACGACGACAACGACGACAACGAGGGAGGAGGGAGGACGGCGACGACGCGAACGACGAAGAAGGAGGAAGGACGGCGACGCCGACGACGACAACGACGAGGGAGGAGGGAAGACGACGACGAGACGACGACGACAACGACGACGACGACGGCGACGAAATAAGAGGGACGACGACGAGACGCCGACGACGGACGACGACGACGACGAGGGAGGAGGAGGAAGGACGACCACGGCGACAACGACGACCGAAACGACCACGACGCCAAAGAGGACGACGACGACGAACACGAGGAAAGACACAGGACGACGTAGGCGACGACGACGACGACGACGGGAAGAGGGAGGACGGCGACGACGACGACGACGACGACGACGCCGCCGCAAGAGCGCGCGCGCACGCTTTTGTTGAAAATCCGTGCTGCGAAACCTTGTGTTGTTGTAGGTTTTTTGGACGCGCGATTTTGAAATCCTTCCGAAACCGATGGGTTTTGAAGGATTTCGGCGTACGCGCGCGACGACGCGCGCGTCTGCACTTCGTCCCAATTTTTGTTGAGGATTCTCGCGACGGCACACGCGCAAGGGCGTTCGACAGATTGCGACATGCGGGCGCGCGACGCCCGTTTGGTAGCATGTTGTGAAAATCTTGAAAAACCAAACTGGTTTTATTAAAATTTCGCAAGAGCTCGCGCGTAAGCTTGTTTAGCAAATCAGTGTTACGAAACCGTGTGTTTTTGTATGTTCTTTGGAAACTCGATTGCGAAATCCTTCCGGGTTTTTGAAGGATTTCGGCATGCGCGCGCGACGACGCGCGCGTGTGCACTTCGTCCCATTTGTTCCAAGGGATTCGTGAAAAAGTGCTATGCTACTACAAAAAATGTCACCGCATAGTGTTTTTTTACAAGGGAACCTCAGGGGGGGGGATACCGGTTGGCCTGGGACATTGCGATTTCATATTTAGGATGGACATGCGGTCAGAATCATTTGTGATTTACATACCCGAAAGGGGGGGCGATAACTCCAGGGGGGGGTATGTGGTGCGCGCTCTGGACTGTGTCATCTACGTGGGGTGGTTAAGCTGCGTGGTGTAATGTGTATATATATATATATATATATGTATATGTATATATGTATATGTATTTATATATGCTGAACAACATATGCTGTGCAATACACGTTGTGCCATCTGTGCCGTACCACGCACGAAATTCAGTCTACGTGGTGCAATATGTGTGGTGCAGTCCTTGCTGCGGCGACGAGGCGGCGACGGGGCCGCGACGGCGGCCACATAGCCGCCAGGCCGACCGTCAGGCCCAGCACACGGGCGGCGCCGAGGCGGCGACGCGGCGGCGACGGCGGCCACAGAGCCGCCAGGCCGCCCGCCAGGCCCTGACAGCGGGCGGCGACGGGGCGGCGACGGGGCGGCGACGGGGCGGCGACGGGGCGGCGACGGCGGAGCCGCCAGACCGGCCGTCAGGCTCAGTCCCCTCGAAGAGAAGACAGGACCCCTGAGTGCAAGCACTCCTTCTCTGCGCTCCTGCTCCTCCTTCCTTCTCCGCCCGTCCGTCCTGCTCGCTTTTTCCGCGCTCCTGCTCCTCCTCCTCCTCTGTCCATCCGACGCATTCCGCCGAGGCGAGGCTGCACACTGCCGCCGACGACGGCGACGACGACGACGACGACGACGACGGCGGCGGCGACGACGACGGCGGCGACGACGGCGACGGCGGCGGCGGCGACGACGACGACGACGGCAACCCACCCGCGGCAAGGGCCGCGGGCGCGCTGCGCCGCGCCCGCTCCTTCACCTTCTTCTCGGTCCCGTCCTCCTGGCGCCACAGCGCGGCCGCCAGGGGGGGCGGCGCAGGGGCCCCGAAGAAGCGAGGGAGCCCTCTCCTCCTCCTCCTCCTCGTTTCCTCCTCCTCCTCCTCCTCCTCCTCCTCCTCCTCCTCCTCCTCCTCTCTCCTCCTCCTCCTCCTCCTCCTCCTCTTCCTCCTCCTCGTCCTCCTCCTCCTCCTCCTCCTCCTCCTCCTCCTCCTCCTCCTCCTCCTCCTCCTCCTCCTCCTCCAGGGCTGGAGGAGCGTGTCCGACGACAGGGGGCGGAGGAGCGCGAGGCAGCAGGAGCACCAGCAGCAGGAGCGGGAAGAGGAGCAGGAGGAATGCGAGGGGTAGGCGAAGGAGGAGGGGGGGGGGACAGCAACAGGAGCACAAGCCGCAAGAGGAGGATCGGGAGCAGCAGCAGCAGCAGCAGTAGCAGCAGCAGTAGCAGGAAAAGAGCGAGAAACAGAAGGAGCAAGCGGAGCAGGAGAAAGAACAGGAGCGGGAGGGAGCGGGAGGAGCAACCGAAGCAGGAATGGCAGGAGCAGCCGGAAGGGTAGAAGCGGGCGGAGGAGCAGGACCAGCAGGCAGGAGCAGGAGTAAGAGCAGGAGGGGGAGCAAAAGGAGGGACCTGGGGAGGGAAGAAATGGACGGAGGAGGACGAGGACGAGGACGAGGACGAGGACGAGGACGAGGACGAGGACGAGGACGAGCACGACGAAGACGACGACGAAAAGGAGGAGGAGAAGGAAGATGAGCAGGGGAGCACAGCAACACCACAGTCCCAGAAAGGGAAGAGTAACAGGGCGGGAGAAACTGATTGGTCGATTGTCGCTCATCAACTCCTCAAGATTCGGGCAAGCATCAAAGCGGCCCTGGCTGCCTCTCGGCTGCCTGTCAAGCCCCTCTCGGTCTAACATGGGCACAGCGCCGCAGCTGGCGTGCAGATAGACACAAGGTATCATCTGAATGCGAACTACACGTGCCACGTCTTGATGAGGACAGTCCCTGGCAACCAATCACCGCTGGGAACAGCCATTGGAAAACGGGAAACGGTACATGGAAAGGGGAAGTGGAAAATCGGGAACCAGAGAATGGAAAGAGGGCAGCGGGAACTGGGAGCTGTAGACTGTGAAGGTGGGAACGGGAAGTGGGAGCTGGGAGATCGGAACAACGACGATGACCAAAGCAGGCGGAATAGAAAGGAGGCTAAGGAAAAGCAGGAGGGGTCACCAGCAGTGGCGATTTGATTTGCGGCTGCAGCAGCATGAGAAGGTGGATCGTGAGGCAATGGATGTGGAAAAAGCACACGGGGCGAAAAATTGGGGACAGGGGACGGAACAAGCGGGTCATGCACACGCAAACGCGCGCGAGCGCGCACCCACACACTTTAGGTTGGCGAGGGAGCCACTGCAGGCTCCGCCAGAGGTCACCTGCCGCGCCGCAAAGGCCAGCTCAGAGCAGGACGAGCGGAGCGCGCCAGCGGACGAAAGCACGAGCGCAAGAACGGAGCCCATGACTGAGCCAGAGTCGGGTACCGAAAACGGCAGACGATGGAGATAAAGCGCGCCAGACAGCACAACAAACTGCGCATCCACACCTCAGCGCGCCAGAGGTCTCCAATCGTCCCATGTACCGTGTGTCTTGCCCCCGCGGGGGCAGCCGCCGGCCCGCCACAGGTTACGGTCCGCACGGGCTCGCCGACAGCGCAGCAAACTGACCAACTTGTGTGGTAACGCGCACAGAGCTGGGAGCCTCAGTACAGTCCACGCGGGGATTCCAAGCAGCGAAGACGGATGCTGCAACACAAGAGGAACAATCAAGAGAACAACACACTGGCAGCGCTGTAAACACACGCAAACGCACACACACACACACACACACACTATCTTTTTTTCTCTCTCTCTCTCTTTCTCTCTTTCTCTTTCTCTCTCTCTCTCTCTCTCTCTCTCACACACGTTTTGGCGATCGCGGGCTCGCGCGCGGCGACGCATCGGCGAAAACTATCAAGCGACAGCGCGCGGGGGGCGGTCACGGAGCAAACCAAGAGGGAAACAAGGACTCTACCCCAAACGGACGCAATGATGGCAGCCAATGACAAGCCGAGGCGCGACAGGGAGGAGGAGGTGGTGACACCGCAAACACACACACACACACACACACACGCACGCACGCACACACACACACACACACACACACACACACACACACACACACACACACACACACACACACACACACACACACACACACACACACACACACACACACACACACACACACACACACACACACACACACACACACACACACACACACACGCAAACACACGCAAACACACGCACGCACGCACACACGCACACACACACACACACACACACATACACATACGCGCTCTCTCTCTCTCTCTCTCTCTCTCTTTCGTCGGCGTCGAGGCAAACTTGGCTGCGCCAGCGATAGAACTAAGCTGGGGCACCGAGAAGCGAATTGGCCACCGCGCAAGAGCGGGAAGAGGGCCGAGGGGGCGGCCGCGGAGGGGGGGGAGAAAAGGCCACTCAGAGGCGAAAGAATTCTCTCCTGAGCGCGGTGGCGCGGCCTGCCCCGTCAACGGGGTCCATGGCAGCTGCCGGGCCGCGGCGCCAGGGCACCCGCGGGCGATGACAGGGCCCAGCACGCGTAGAGCAATGACATGCTGTAGTGACGCCGCCGATGAAGTACAGTCGGGGCCTTGGCCTCAGGAACCCAAAATAAGGAACGAGGCCCCGTTTTTTCCGTAAGTTGAACTTCGATTTCCTGTCGAAAACCTAAGGAACACCTGTGGCAAGCTGCGAAACACTTAAGGAACGCGGAGCCCCTCCCCAACCAAAAAGGTTCCTTCTTCAGGGCCCCGACTGTAGGCAAAGTACTTGGACCACAGGCAGAGGGTCGCAGGGCCGCCCAGGTGGGTGGTTCGTGACAAGGTACGGCAAGTTCGCGAGCAGTAGGTTGGCACTGCAATTGGCAAAATGCTAGGCCCGCGGAGGGGACGCGGGCGGCAAGACCAAGCCCTGGCGCCCAACCACAGAGGGAGGCCGCAAGCTGCAGCAGCCTCGCGAGCGCCATGGCGGCGCGCGGAGGGAACGTGGGACAGGCGACGGAAAATTGGGAAGGGAACAAGGAGAAGCGCCCCGCCTGCGGAGAGACCCCAGCACGCGAGGCGACGGGGCCAGGCGGCCCAGCGCCAGCGCTGCAGCTGCCGGCAGGTGGCCCTGGCTGCGGCCGCGGAGGCCACGCGATGTCGGGACGGACAGCGCATGGCCAGTCATGCACACCTGACTAATCGGCGCAACTACCTGCGTCATAACTGCGGCCGAAGGCAATCGGGGGCCACGCGCCCTCGGGGTGGGCACCGCGCAGCCGGTCTAGGGGCTCCGCGATGGTAGGACGAGCTAAATCTATTGACACCACGTGTTATTGTTACGTTCGGGGGATTCCGGGATTTCTAACAGCCTTCGCACGGGGTACACTTTGCGTCGAGCACTGTCTACTCTGGCTGGCGCCGCCGGTTGGTCACCCATTCGCGATCGAGTGGTCGCCCGTAAGGGGCTATTTGGCACTTGCTGATCCCCCGTCTCGTTGCCGAGCGCGGGGGGGACGGCGGCGCACCGCCCCGTCGCCCGCCGCCGCGCACCGCGCGCACGCGCGAATTCCCAAAGACCTGGCAAGGCAAATCACGCGCGACTCTGGAAAATTCTCCAGGGGTACATTTGAAAAACTCCGGGGAACGTTTGTGAAATGTCCGGCCTACTTCTTGAAACACCGGAATCGATTTTGAAAAAATCCGGGGTCGATTTTGAAAAATTGCGGAATCAATTTTGAAACTTTCCGGATTTCAGCATTCTGCAAATGTCCTGCGCGGCGGGCGCATTCCACCCCTCATAACTGTTTTGTTTGAAAATGCCCAGGCTCCTTTATGAAAAATCTGGAACCGCTCGCGCCCAAAAACGGAAGCGTTTTCTGAAACATTCTACAATCCAGAAATAATTTCCGGGCGGTCCGACAGGCGTGGCCGGCTGATTCACGCACCGCGCCGCGCGCGATTGGGCGCAGCGCGCGCCGCGCGTTGCGCCCGCGAACAGCACTCGAAGGGGCTGCCTCAAAAACAGCGCCACGGCAACTGCGAGTCAAGGACTCCCCAAGAGCAACACATCATGCAGCTTGGAATCTCCGAGGGCGCTCCGACGCGCGAAAAATGCACCGCGCCCATAACGCACAGAGCCTGCGCGACGGAATGCGCTCGACCATTCGCCCCTGGGGCCCGCGCGGAAGAACAGGGCAACCTGGAAATCTTGAAAACTACCAATACCAATACTTCATGCTCCTCTGAGACGGCGCTTGCGTCCGCGCTTGCGAACGCAGGGATGACGGGGCACGGCGGAGGAAGCATCGGAGGAAGGCGGCGTCGCGCCGGCTGGCGTCGCGGGCGCCGCCGCCACGCAGAGCTCAGAATCCGCGCCAGGCAGCCCCAGGTTCACCGCCTATCTGCTGCATCCTCCTGACCGGGGCCACCAGGGCCCCCTGCTGAGGAAGTCGAGCACGACGCGAGCTGGGACATGCTCGGGGCGCGCCCGCCCCTTGCCCTGCTTCGCGCGGTCCAAGGTGGACGAATCCCTATGGGCGCGGGCGTTCGACAACGCGGCCCAAGTGTTCTTGACGAGAAGCAGGCGCTCGCGCCGCGCAGACAGCGGCGCCCCCCCTCGCGGGGCGGCGCTGGAGCTGCCCGCGGCGCTGGAGCCAGCTGCGCCCGCGATCACTGGGGAAGAGCGAGGAACCACAGGGGCGGGCGGCGGGTCCACGCGCGGACGCGCGTCGGCGATGACCCAGTCGCTGGCTGGCGCCACAAGCCCGGCGGGCTGGATGGACGCGAGCCACGCACCGCCCCGACTGGCGGACAAGGGGCGGGCAAAGGCGCCGGGGGGGGCGGCGGACCAGGCGCGGGGGGGCGCCGGGGAAGGCGCCGGGGAAGACGCCG